CGTGAAATTGCCGGTTTTTAGACTACAATCATATATCAGATTTTCAATTGCCTATATAAATAGTTTGTGTAACAACACGTTCGGAATTTATCGGGTGCGAGTTTCTCCTATGCTACAATAGGACGAATGCATTAATATAGTAAAGTTTTGGAATTTGTTTTAATTGCCTCAAAAGTTGGAAGTTGATATGTGAAAACCCTTTTTTGAAAGTTGGTAATTGTATTAAATAGAAATCTATCTTATGTGATTTGTTACAGTTGATGCTCAAATACGAGGTACTGTTAACCCCTAAAATTAGATCCCACGTAATATAGTAATAGCAATATATTACAAATACCAAGAAAATTATCAATTATATTAGTGATTCTAGACCTATTAGAAATATTCATATAATAGAGCAGGTAGATATAATACTAATAGTCATAATGATATAGATAACCTTACTACCGCTTTTATAAAAGAATAATACAAAAAAAAAAATATATATAATATCAAAAAAAAGAAAGGATATAACATCATAAAGAAAACTGAAGAATAGATAACTGCTTGTTATATAATGCTTTCTGAGTACTGTCAATGCAATATCCATTCTTTGTACATGGCAGTTCGAGAAACGAAACTCATATACATTAACTGAAATAATGATCCGAATCAAGACTAATATTAATATACATTAACTGAAATAATGATCCGAATCAGAACTAATATTAATATGAAATAATAATCACCGTTTCAAATAATTTGCATTTATTTACCAGTTATGTATCAATCAACTGCGTTTTCTCATATAATTGATAACAATAATTTAAAGATAAGTTGTCGAAATTATTTAATTGGATTTCCAACTCATTAATTTCTGCTTTTTTACCAAAAATATCTTGGATTTCTTCATCAGTTAGCACCTCAGATAATTTTTTTTTACATTTTTCTAATTGTTTACGAGCATAAGTGCTGTTATTCTGTAAAACTTCTTGATGTGCTTCTACTAAATTTTCCAACCACAACTGATCATTTTCATC